GTGTGTGTGTGTGAGAGAGCGTGTTTGTGCACACATTAGTGCATGCATTCTTACAGTATGTGCCCCTTAACCCTCAGCCTCGTCAGCTGCCCAGTGAGGGTAACAACCACTCTGTGTTTTTCGGCTCTGCCTTGCTGCAGTCCCTCCTTCGTTATTCCCATTTTTGCCTCAACAAAACACTTTCTTGCTTGCGTGTTTTCTGTCTTTTCTATTAATCGCTTTGTGTTGTTTTTTACTGTTGTCCTTTCTTTCCATTCATTCTACACAGTTCTAATTCTGCCAAATGTATTTTCTCTCCCTTTCTTCTTTCCTCATCTGTCACTCTTTTCTCTTTTTCTTTTGTTACTGAATACACTGTCTTTCACCCTTCTCATTTTTCTTCCTCTAATCCTGTATTATTTTTCATTTTCTCTTCTTCCCCAGTGATTGTCCGCAGCCAGCCCGTCTTACTCTTTGTTTATACTTCCAGGATGCTTTCGTGGTTTGCAGTAGCAGTCATAGTAGTAGCAGGAGTGGTAATAGTAGTAGAGAGGAGCCAGTAATTCCTGCCCGCCACTGCTTCTAGCCACTGCTAACCTCAGAATCAGCAACACACTGACCACAGTGACCTCCCACACACTACTTGAGTCTGCATGCATTTGTGTGTGTGAGTGCACAGTATGTTGTGCAGTATGGTGAGTGTGTGTCTAATTTTGGGACAGGGACAGTGTAATCTGCACAAATTTATGTTCTCATTCTCTTACTCAGTCAGTGTATTGTCTCAACAAATAAGTGAATAGCCAATGGCTAAAAAAGGTTCACATTTGCATTACTCATGTTTGGTTTCTGTTACACATTATCCCCAAAGCTTGTAGAAAACATGCCAAACTATGCATATGTGTGCCTTTGGTGATGACATTTGAAAATGAAAGCAGCTGTTTATCAAACAGTATGTACAAAACAATAAAAGAGAAATGCAGAGGGTTACATAGAATTGACACCCGTGTCAATAAATGGCTGAATGTATGGCTGGTCTACACTCCTAGCTCTTTGTGGTCTCTTTGTGTTATATTTTAATTGTTACTTACCACCTGTACTTAAATCTCACTCAGTGTTTAAAGAGTCAATTTTAAAAAGTTGTGATAGATGGTTGGATTTTTGACCAAATCCTACAATCTTAGTCTTTACATTGACATGAGCATACATAATCTGTATGTTTTTGTATTGTATTTTTCAGCTTTTCCCTGTTGATGATAGCTTTATTGGATTTTGATTCATGCACTCACGTCCCCAATGGACCTGAGTCTTTCAATTTGAACTGATGTATTTATAGCTTAGTACACAGTGATGAGTCACAGAGAGCTCTTAAACCTACAGATGGTACAACTCTGACTGGGGGAATATGACCCAATGATCTCTTGTCCATGTACTGTAAATATTGCCCATATTATTACTATGTGATTGTGAGAATAAGATGTTTAATACCTACATATCAGAATCAGAATCAGAATGAGAATCAGAAATACTTTAATAATCCCCGTGGGGAAATTACTTACTTAATGTGTGTTTATGTGTTTGCATGTGCACGTGCCTGCTTGCATGCATGCCTGTGTGTGTGCTTTTTCTGTTTCCACTCTTTGTCTCGTTTATTAAACCGAAATTAGAGGTTTTTGTTGCGTCCTTGCATCCATGACATGGCAGTAAACCCTCCAGACGACACACAGAAAGGCCGGGATGCTCCAGATTTAGAGTAACTTTAGACAGCTCATTATAAAAGATTGATGATTTTGCCTGTCCATTTCTTTTAAACACAGCCAGTGGTCGAAATGCTTCAAAGCCTGTTTATTCCTGCTTGTGTGATTTGCCTAAAAGTGAATTGTAGCTGAGCAATATTTGATTTATTGATTTTAGGTCAATGACATCCACCACAATCACTACACAATGATCTAAAATGGTCTTGAGGACAATCGGTTTTGTTTTCTTTGCCATATCA